CACGCTCTCTCTCTCTCTCTCTCTCTCTCTCTCTCTCTCTCTCTCTCTCTCTCTGACTCACTCTCTATCTTTGTGTCTTTCTGTTTCGCCATCTCTTTTCCCTCCCCTCTTTTCACACCACTCCCTCTCCCTCCACACCGATTCCTTGCTCCCGGTAACACATTATCTCCTTTGCCCATCTCATCTGGCTTCACCAACATCACTCATCGCCTCTTGACGCTTACAGCTACTGATGCGGAACGTGCGCGTACCTTTCTGCCTGTATCCTCCAGTGGAAGAGATGCTGTCGTGTAGCACTGGTAGGCCGGCTGGTGATTGATCGAGCTCTGCAGGTCTGAAGCAAACAAGGAAATCTCTCGTCAGAAAGCTTTCTTATATATATGCTTTCCTATCTGTCTAACACTGCTCGAGGCAGGCGCGACCTTTCATAGCACACCCCGTAGTAACACGTGTTCCAGCAGAGACCAGATGGTCACTCCACCGCGTCACACCCTATCCTTTCCTCTCAAGCGATTATCTTTCAGTGAGTGGAGGTCATTTTAGTCACTCTACGAAGTCCCCTGCCGGTGTTCCATAGTATAGAAACGAAGGGACCAAGCATGGCGTTGTCTTTCCAATTGCTTACGGGGATATCCTATGTATCGGTAGTTCTTCCTGGCAACCGAAGATCAACTAACTAGGTCACTCTTCAGAGTGTCTGCTATACTCAACCAGGACACGCATTAACTTAATTAACCAGTTTTAAGGCGTGAAATACTACCAACTTGCAACTTGCTTGTGTTGCAACACCCCTCTCCAACTAGGCGATCAAATACATCAATTACAATGCAAAATCATTAAAAAGTCACTCATACCAAGTCTACCTAAAAAATACTTAACGATTATCTTTTGTAGACAAAACACAATAGAATACAGTTGGACATGAATGATTATAGTGAGTTTCTATTATGAATGCGAGTGTGTATAGATTCAATAGACACTTTGGCACCGCACATAAAAGTAGTTGGGATGAGTGAATATAGAGTTAGCCCTGGGACGAGCCATTCCACAACAATAAATAACTGTGGAGTGAACAGCATTTCTAAATTTCAGATGCAATAAAAGGCAAATTACGCTACGCGGACATCCAATTTCAAGTGGTCACACACAATGAGAATGCACACTACCATATTATATCACACACCACCATCAGATCTCTGGTCGAACACGCCAGTGTGCAAATGTTATCACTTGGACATTATACTACGCGCACCCGCACATACGCGGGGTCATGAGTAGCAGATACATCGTACAGGCACATCACACACACGCACACGCGCGCGCGCGCACGCACGCACGCACGAACACGCACGCACACACACACACCAACACACACACACACACACACACAACACACCACACACACACACACAACGCACCCGCGGGCATTCAGTCTCTTGCAAATGTTTATACGTGCTCATTCCCGTTCTTCACAGTCATAAGTCAAGCGCACTTAAACGGTATCCCAAACCCTTTCCGGAGCGAGCAATTCTGTCCGCGTATATATCGTGCGAAGCAGCATTTCCATAGATATCACAACGTTGATGCTAAGCTAGCATCAACGGGTACTTGGGCCCTATAATGGCACAAACCCGTACCGTACAACGCCGAGAATTAGGTCTAAACATATAATACAGAGTACGCGCGGCGTGTAATGCTAAGTGCAACCATTATCATTATGTTAAGTCGCGCATATGCATACAATATCGTACAATATGTAGTTATAGTTATATTTTATATTTACGGTCTGCTTTAAAGACACAACACAAATTTTCCAATGCTACATAATAAACCCTGTAATGTGGCTCACATATACATACATACACACATACACACATACACACATACACACATACACGCCAAACGCACACACGCACGCACGCACACACACACACACATCATGATAATATATTTATATAATATAATATATATATATATATATATATATATAAAATATAGAGAGAGAGAGAGAGAGAGAAGAGAGAGAAGAGACAACAGAGAGAGATATTTACGATAAGGCATAGTATATATATATATATTATATATATATATATATATATACATATATGTTAATTTTTTAATTGACGGTGTTTGTTTGTCTATGCGAGTCTACTCGACTGTAAAGAATTTCAATGAAATCAACATAACAGTCGTAGCAGCAGCTAACGTGAACAAAGGACCCCTGCCTCTTGATGTTAAAACATGCTCAGCCCACTTTCTGCGGATTTTCATAAATTTCCATATGATTATATTATAGCCATCACGCAGCAGTAATCTGACAAAGGAAGGCATTAATCTTCATCAGGATTCGGCTTACAGTGTGCGCGCTATCGCAGCACATGGACCCAAACCCAAGTCAGCATTACACCTCAAGACAAGCTGGCTAAAACAAGCAGAGGTGACTGCCGAACAGCACATTAGTACATGCTTATTGATATGCATCTTTATATCGACTGAGCGCAGACAATGTTTGTCATTAAATCCACCAAAATGAATGATGTATTACTATATATAATGCCGCGCGTATGTGTGTGAGAGAGTGGGTGGGGGGTGGTGGGTGGGTGGATGGATGTGTGTGCGTGCGCGCGTACGTGTGTTGGTGGGTGTTCGTGTGTGCGCGCGCGTGCGTGCGTACAACAGTGTATAATATTATCAGGAGTAAGATAATATAGGATCCTATATTATCTTACTCCTGATATTATGTGAGTGCGTCTGTGCTAATGCAAGCATGTGGGTGGGCGTGTATAACTGTGGCTATAGCCTATAGGCTATATGCTTGGTTTACCTGGGGGCATATTAGGTCTTGACTATGCTGAACATCATTACGTTCTAGGTTGCATCCATTCTTCAAATTCGAAAGACGAGTCACATTACAAAAAAGGGTCCCTGAAGATTTTAGATTCATCATGCCGTTGTAGATTTTATAACCTGTTCTTCATCGGGAGAAGGCTAACATGATCCACTCTCGCACACTCTTTGGTCACCATCAAACACGATTGATCACGCTATTGCCTATAGGAAGGCCACATGACGATAAGTCTGACAACACACGTTTAGATGAACACACGGGCACAAATTCATAGGAACAGCATACCCCCACATCAAGGACTCACCCGTCACTAGGAGTCTAAGTTAGGTTAAATTGTCTAAGTTTTGCCAATCTTTGGCTGTATGAGAGTCATGTATGCTTTGCATAGCTGCTGCAACAAACACTGCAGCGATCGGCCTAATAGCTAAACCTACGTGTAACAGATACATACGCAAGTTACCTGCCTAGCCAATATCGCTACGGGAAACAGAAAAATGCGTCCTCATTCCTACAGGATCCGTCATCGTATATTACACGTAAGTATTGACAAATGTCTCCCGCTGACTAAGGACGAGTACTGCGGCAGCATAGCGCGTGTCATATCAGGAGAATGTATATTAACACAAACGTTGATTACACTAGCCTAAGATGCAACACCGTGTACCACTTTACAACAGCAAAAATCCATTTGAGAATAAAAGTATAGCTAAAAGTATGAAACGATGCGAACATGAACTAATTTTTCTCACAGAGAGAACGATTAATGACTCATCTATGTCCCGCGTACTACACAGTAAAACCTACCTGTTCTATACACCCATCTATATACTGGCTCACGCTCCTTATTAGTGGCTGCACTATCAAGCACTCAGCCAAATTCTGCTCCACGGTGATGCGACGAGCGAGAGCGAAGACGCAACGAGCGAAAAACTCCGACGAGCGTTTCGTCTGCCACAAGCCCGCTTTACATACGCGCGTAGCGTTTCTGACACCTTTTGCTTGAGAAACCACAGAGACCTGCTCCACATACAACACTCCGTACGGCGCACGATCATTTAGCACCAATCCAAGAAACCATGCAACGACGGTGACTATTGCATTAGCACATAGCGTGGACAGCGGCTAGAGCTTTTTAGCGTCTGTGGCTAAATAATGAAACGACGGTGGCTCAAACTTCGGCTAAAACCTCGAAACACCCAGAGCGACACTGCCTGCTACCATACTGTCGCTGCTAGTAAGATTTGTGGTGGTGACTCTACGTGCGCGCGCGAAGGAAATGAAAGAGAAAGCGAACTCACGGGTTTGTAGGGCACTGTATCTCTAGGTATGTAGGTCAGCATAATCGTTAGTTAAGAAAAGTCGCTGGCGAAGCACCGTACGAGTTGTAGGACCGCGTGATCGCCGTTGCCAAGGTCGCACCCTATCCTTACATCTTCCCGATCCGTATAATTTTAGACTCCCTTACCCTGCCTTCCTCGTACACACGTACTACCTACGTACCAAATGTCCGCGCGCAACAAAAGTGAAAGGATAAACGTAGCGCATCAAGTGGCTCAATTGCCCGGCGCGTTTTTTTTCAGGGCCACTTTCCGCCACTGCTCGTGCATACGGAGCAATTCGAAACACAGTCGCACAAAGCAACGCGAGTCGCCGTACGCATGCGCGCACAGGATGCAAGCTGCTTCTGGAAGGATGGTGAACACGCGACTAGTGGAAGCATCTAGCACGCGGAATCGCACCGGATACGGGCTGCTTCTGGAAGGATGGCGGATATACGCAAATATTGGAAACATCCAACAGGGGAAATCGCATCTTTTCCTAGAAGGAGGAGTTGCGCCATAGCTGGTAACAAGAAACCATGACGCAAGTAAGGAAGACGATAACTAAAAGATCGCGTGGATTTTCATTTCATATATGCTCCAAATGTTTACTTGCCAGCTATTAGATGGTACACACGATATATAGGGTTCGTGAATGACATGCTGCAGTTTACATCCAGTTGGAAACATTGATAGAATAGTCAATACGAGTACAATCTACATTTCCTCCGATTTTAAGGCCCGTAAATTTTTCAGATACTGCTGGACCAATAAAGTCAAACCTATCCTGTGTAATCAGCAGTGCAGTGCTTTAACATAGGCTTATACAAACAATAAGTAGTATCATAGCACTCGAATAAGTATCCAACCCAGCAATATCAATTTACACCACGGTCTTCAATAGATCGTAAACAGTGTGAAACGTTACTATTCCGATATCGATATTTTGGACCGCTACTACTACTACTACTACATGCACAGTAACTATGAGAAGGTCTATGTCCCCCAGGGTACTGCCGGAACGTACCCTAGTACTATCTAATATGCCGGACCGTACCTCGCCTACTCCACTAACGAGTCTAGGGAGGCTTTAATACTGATCATTCTTACGTAAAAAATAGTCGTATTTGTTGTCTGGTATACAAATCCGAGAGCACAGCGAACATGCCTGATTGTTAGAGCCCGTATAAAATACAGGCTCAAAAAAGTAGTCAAAATACACCTGTTTAAAGCCGCACTATGGCCTATGCGCATCCAAACGCTGATTTCTCCAGTACTAGACTAGCAAATACTTCGTGGCATGCATAATCACACTATCTTATGGCAAAATAAACTCTAGTTCCTCCCATTTCACTGCGCGTTTGCTTAAAACCCACAAGAAAGAGGTGAAAAATCTGGTAATCTGGCGCCAACGCTAAATTGTTTGCCAAACAATTTCGCCAAGAAACGGTTAGGTGACGTTACATGTTTTTATTTTTGCTACACCCGTACCGCTGTACCGCAGCACCGCTGTGCGGTTGCTTGGCAGGGCAACGCAAAAGTGTCAACAAATCGGAGAATTTGAATAACATTGGAGGTATGTTTAAATGCCTTTTATAAGACAACGCGCGGTGAAATGGGAGGAACTAGAGTTTATTTTGTCATAAGGTAGTATGATTATGCATGACACGAAGTATTTGCTCGTCTAGTACTGGAGAAATTAGCGTGTAGATGCGCATAGTGCGGCTTTAACCGATTCGCCAGACACGCCGAAGAATTCTAGACACGCATCATATTCAAACACCCATCAGACGTGAATTTTCTATCCATTATTATACACGATCTCCTAGCGGGGGTCTTTAATAACATTATATACTAAAGACCTATAAACGCGAAAGACACGGCATGTACAAATCGGCTATTGCCGAATTCTGATAACGCATATAACCAAAAACGGACGTCAATGTACGGTTACAGCCCTATAGACCGAAGGCCCGATAGACCGAAGGTTTATTCGAATACGCAGCGGCTACACGTCCGGAATCGGTCGCCTAGCCTCCAGGCTACGCATCCGGACATCCACTGATGCCGTATTCGAACGTGAATATGCCGCACATCTAGCGATGCCACTATACACCCTAACCTTAACCCTAACCCTAACCATAACTATAAACCCTAACCTTAACCATAACCATAACCCTAACACTAACCCTGACCCTAACTCTAACCCTAACCCTTTGCAATATTCGGTCTATCGGACCTTCGGTCTATCGGACCTTCGGTTTATCGGACCTTCGGTCTATAGGTCCCTTTTCAATATTCGGTCTATCGGACCTTCGGTCTATCGGACCTTCGGTTTATAGGGATGACCCCCAATGGTATTGGTAACGGGATTATAAACTGGTATTAGCGCGCTATTTTAGATCCCAATAAATGACTTCACCCCAACATGTATGCGCTGCACTTACGCTGCCAGGGTCTATGTCTCCCTGGGTACTGCCGGAACGTACCCTGGGTGCGGTCCGGTATACCGGAACGTACCATGGTACTATCTAATATGCCGGACCGTACCTCGCCTATTCCACTAACGAGTCTAGGGAGTCGCCTACGACTACTCCCTAACCCTAACCATATCAGATAGTTACCAGGGTACGTTCCGGTATACCGGACCGTACCCAGGGTACGTTCCGGCAGTACCCAGGGAGACATAGACCCTATCAGCTGCACTTACCCCTCCCACTGTCTGTGAGTGAACATAGAACAGGACCTATGTACGATAAACTGGAGACGGGTGAGTCATAGTTGGGTGCAATACATCGAACAGCCTGCAGCGAGACAGCCGGCCGGCCCTACAACTGATGGAATATTGATGCGCAAGCTCTTCTGCAGCGCAAGCGCTATGCTGGAGCACCAGGCCTTGGCAGACATTTCCAGAGCTGAATTCTTAAGTACCATGGCCCAGGGTAAAGTATACAGTAAAAGAAATGGCGGGTGGGGACTCATCGGGATGAGGCCTGTTTCTGATACTGCTACTGCTGCTACTGCTTCTGCGCCTACTACTGTTACTGCTGCTCATAGGGTCTATGTCCCCCAGGGTACTATCGGAGGGTACCCTGGGTACGGTTCGATATATCGGAACGTACCCTGGTAGTGGTAACTATCTGATATTGTTAGGGTTAGGGTTAGGGAATAGGCGACTCCCTAGACTCGTTTGTGGAGTAGGCGAGGTACGGTCCGGCATATTAGATAGTACCAGGGTACGTTCCGATATATCGAACCGTACCCAGGGTACGCTCCGATAGTACCCTGGGGGACATAGACCCTCTCAGCGTTACTGCTGCTGCTGCTGCTGCTGCTACTGCTACTGCTGCTGCTTCTGCACTTACTGCTGCTACTGCTACTGCTACTGCTGCTGCTACAGCTACACATACTACGCCCTCGCCTGGACCACGTCCTTGCTAGTTGCAGAGGTCGTAAAGTACTATTGTTCGGTCCTCAAAACTCCGGATGTCTTCATGACTGCACACGTCATCAATTCGAGAAGGAGTGTTTCAAATGTAAGCAGTTTGCACCATCTGAGATTGAACACGTCTCTGGCAGTTTCATAAATGCACACCTAACTTCTCTATACGAAGTCATCTCTCAGTAGATCGAAGCTACCAAGCCTAAAATGCATAGACGTTAAAGAAATAAATGTTGAAGAAATTAATTCGATACAGAAGATCTGCCAAATTCAGATGACAATGAAAACCATTATTTCATACTTATATTATACACTTCAAACTTTTACTATATATTACTAACTTTTATACTTGTTTTAAGACCATGAATAAAGAAGGCCTAACAAATCAGGCTTAATCGAAGTCATGTTTAAAACGTAACATTTGGATTTTCGGTGTGTGAGACATTTAGCTAGCCTGTTTAGTTGCACCTGGCACTTAATTTCCTACAGGCTTTGTGGTTGGGCTCGATCGTCAGCACTTCTCTGCAATTTGCCGCACTGCTGAGAAAGGGTCAGTTAGAGTTTACCAAAGGCGGTAAGATCAGCATTGTGCATCCCAGGTACCACGCACCAAAGACATCACTTCGTGTCCTATTATATATATATAAAGTTGTTCAGCCGAATTTGTGTGCTCGCTCGAGAACTCCGCAGTCTAGGGTAAAACTAAATATATTTTCAGAATCAGCACGTCTGGGAGGTGGTTCTGGCTGAAAATTTCAAAAGTTAAAAAGTTGAAAATTTATAAAAATTCTATTCATCAATAGATGGCATACATTTTAACATTATACATCACGTACGTGTGAATCCATCGTGTATAACCATAACGGACCAGAACTGTACATAACGGACCAGACAGACTTTCCACTGTAGCCGAATGGATAAAGCATCGGACTCCTAAACCATTGATTCTGGGTTCGAATCCCACCTCGGGAAATGCTTTGTTTCTTTACTTTTGGACTGTTTAGTATGTACTTCTGCCGTATTCTAATTCACCGTTAATTTCACATTTTTTTTACCACATTTAAACTTTTAGTAAAAATCCAGAATAAACTATGGTAGATGATAATAATAGCGCAAACGGACGGGAACACTTCACGGAAGCCTATGTAGGTATAATATTATGATATTTTCTATATAATTTCATTTTTGACTTTTTTATTTTAATGACTTTTATCTTTTGATTTCTTATTATTTTTTTACTGTTGGGATGGGATGGCATGCGATGGAATGGGAAGGGATGAGATGGCATGGGATGGCATAGGATAGGATGGGATGGGATGGGATGGGATGGGATGGCATGGCATGGCATGGCATGGCATGCGGTGCGATGGGATGGGATGGGATGGGATGGGATGGGATGGGATGGGATGGCATGGCATGGCATGGCATGGCATGGAATGCGATGGACGGATGGATGCATGGATGGATGCATGGATAGATAGATAGTTCGATTTTCTTTTGCTATTTTCCTTTCAACCAAGCGGTCACCAAATGAGTAACGCCACTGATTTCCCCGGGCAACGCCGGGTATCCCGCTAGTATATATATATATATATATAGCGGGCGATGCTACTGTACAAATTGGTGCAGCCGGGGAAAATTACGGGGGAATAGAATGTTGTTCTATGTTGGAACACGGATGAAATTTCACATTG